CCTATTTTATAGGTGAAGAAATGGGCTCAGAGATGCCAAGAGACTTACCCAAAGTTATACCGCTGGAGAGTGGCAGACCTGGCATTCAGGCTCAGTGTGAGCAGGCTGTTTTTTCTCCGCCATTTTAAACTTTTTTAATTAAAAGAAATTTAAACTTTTTTCAATTAAAATTTTTTTAAATAGAATTGGCAGGGGCTCCTTGGGGGTTCTGATTCAGAGGGTCAGGGTCTGGGATCTGTGTTTTTCGGTCTCCCTTGGGATTCTAATGTGTAGCCAGGTTGGAAATCGGGAATCTGGCCAATTTCACTAGGAAGAAACCGAGGCCTAGGGGGTGGAGTCGCTTCTCAAGGGCCCACTGCGGGTCTGGAGGTGGCCTGTGTGCTGCTGTTCCCACCCCATCTTGCCCCTTTCCTGTCCTGACACCCGAGGAAGCAGAAGGAACAGTGAACCCCAATTAAGCAGACTAATCCTGGGTTGTTTGATGTCTGGGTGGAAATGGGGAAATCTATCCAGCCTTTCAGATTCTTATCCAGATAATTACCATTTGTCTTAAAGTACAAATTTGGCAATTAACTGGCTCATTTGGCAAATGTCACAGTCAACGGCCCGCGTGGTTAATTCAGGCCAGGGGAAGATCGTGACTCCATCTCCCCTCCCCTGGGAGCAGCGCAGGTGCACGTGTCCAGGTGAATGCTCAGGTGTGTCTGCACCTGAAGGCCCCGTCTAGGCTGAGGCATCACCAGCCTCTGGCCTCCCCTCTGCTCTCAGGAAGACCTCTCCTCCCCTAAGGCCGGAAGGATTTCAAGACTGGGTGGTCTACCCAGCGCCTGTCCCAGGCACTGGAGCTAGAGGCATCCGACACAGAGCAATGTGGGAGAAGGAAACAAAGAAGGCATTGAGAGACAGGCCTGGGCAGGGTGGAGGGAGGGAGACAGTGGGTAGGAGGAAGTCAGGAGGGAGGTGTAGATAAGGGCGGAGCTGAGGCCCAGTCAGACATCAGGGGATTTAATCAGATTCCAAGGGAGGAGGGAGAGGGAGAAAGCTGGGGCCTCGGGGGGTGATGGGAAGGGTGCAGGGAGGAAAGGGGGTGACAGGAAAAGAGGCAGAATCACCAGGTCGCACCCTCTGTGAAGTGGGGGAGCCTGGGCAGGAGTGAATGGCACAGTCAGTGTCCTAGGAGATACAGAGAATAGCCTGGAGGTTGAGACCACGGAACAGGAGCTGAGTCCTGTTGCGTCTTGGCCTTCCCACTTCCTAGCCGTGAGAATTCAGGCAAACTACACAGTCTTTCTAGGCCTTGGTTTCTGCATCTGTAAGATGGAATAAAACCGCTTATCTCCACAGGGGCTTTTGCAGATGAGAGGAGAAATGTCGGCACATAGGAGATGCTCAATAAGGCAATTAGCATCCTTCCTTCTCCCACTGCTGCAGGAGAGCCCAGTATTTGAAGGCTCCCTACATTATATTGTTTCCTATATCCTGCCTCTTCCAGCTTTTGTGCAGCCCTGCCAGCAGGGGAAAATTGCCAGGAGCCAAATGGATGCTGGACACATCCCCAGAGGTCTCACCCCAAACGCTCCTCTCCTGACAGGATAGCGCTCACCCCAGAGGTGAGAACGGACCCCTCCAGCAGCAGAGATTTCCCAGCCCAAGGTCCCTCCTGAGATCCCGCTGTGTCCTGCAGGTCTGGGCTTGCAAGGCCCGCTCCCAGCTGGTGTTGACTTCCCTAGCGCCCCAGAGAAATCAAGAGACCAGTTTCTCCTCCGCCCTGACTGATGCCTCCGCCCTCTGCTGTAGACAGCGCGTCTCCATTTTTGAGCCTGCCTTCGAATGTTTCCAGATCAGCCGCCTCTCCCTCTGCCCCTCCCAGGTCACTGACCTCTGGCTCCTGTCTGCGAGCCTCCCCCTTCCCTCCCTGGACCCCAGGGGCTGACTCCCTCTGCCCTTGGCCTAGGCTCTCCAATGTTCTAAACCCCTTGTACTCGGTGCCTTCTTCCTCCCTCTGGGCCAGTGAGTCCGGCTCACATTAGACCTTTCTTTACCTGAAGGCCCCAAACCAGTCCCGCCTCCTCCCCCAACAGCTGCCAGCTGGTCCCCCCACCCAGCACCCCCGCTCACTCGGTGGCTCCTCCTTCACCTTCTCTAGGCAAACCTCCCACAAGAAGATGGTTAACCCGCCCACACCCACTTTAACCTACCTTCATTCTGTTTCCCCTAGTATCCTTCAATCTTCAATTATCCAACATCTAAGCCCCAACTTTGCATCTTCAGCCTGACGTCTTGTTCTCCCTGCCCCCCGCCACGCACACCTCACTCTATATCCCGACTGTGCACACAGCACACCTGGACCCAGTACCGCAGCACATGCCATCCTTACCACCGACCACCACCAAGACCTCACCTGCTCGTGCCTGCCCACTCCCCTTGCCTCCTGGTGCCCTGCTGGCCTGCCCACCACCCCGTCATCTCCCCTCCCCACCTGGCTCCTGGTCCATGGAAAGTGCCCCACACAACAGTGGTGATGGGACCACTGATCAGCGCTTTCTCTGTGCCAGGCTCTTTCTGAGAGCCTCACTTGCCTGATCCCAGTTCATTGCACAACCTTGCTGGAAGATGGCCCTCTTACCACCTCCATGAAAGACGGAGAGACTGAGGCATGGAGAGGTTAAGTTACTTGCAAAGGTCATCTCCCCAGAGGTGGTGGTCACTGGATTCACACCTTTGGACTCCCAGTTCTGGGCTCTGGGGTCTCCCTCCTGGATGCCCCAGGCTCCTTTCATGGAGGGAATGCCCTGCCCACCCTCCCACCCCCCAAGGCCTGGGGGTGGGAGTGAATGTGCCTTTGTTCTGTTTCTCTTGTTCTGGGTGCTGACATGGGGGCCCACAGGGTGAGGCTTGGTCTGCCTATCGAGCCCAGGCTTCTCAGGAACCTTCTAGGCCACCGGCTCTGCCAGCCTCTGTGTGCTGGGCTGTTGGCTCTGCCCCATGTGGGTCTGGTTGCCTTTGCTCCCCACCCTCCCATGACCGCGTCTATTGACAGCTGACTTCGCCAGCCCTTGTCCAGAGACCAGGCCAGATCCTCATCCTCGACTACTTCTATTCCCCTCTTCTTGACAACCATTTTGCGTCTCTGGTGATGGCATTTTCCGTGTGGTGGAACTTCCAGGCCACTGCTGACGGGGCACATGCTTCCTGAGAAGAACTCAGTCTCTTGCCTGGAGAGCCCGGGGTGTGGGTGGGTGGGGGGTGCAGGGGTTGGAACACGGGGCTTTCTGTCCCGGTTCTCCACCAGCTCCTTGGCCCTCTGGGCACTTTCCCAAGAAAGCCAGGAAGCTTTCTCTCCCATCAGTCCACTTCCCTGGCTGTCCGCCCCAGGGACCCATCGGCACTCCCGGCCTGGCAGAGCGTCCAGTGGGTGTGATGTGTGGTGAAGTCTGCGCCCAGCTGCTCAGGGCTCCTTGCCAGCGGAACTCACATTCCCAGTGGTTTGTGGTTTCCACAGCTTGACTCTTCTTGTGGGTTCCTCAAGGAGACGGCTGGAGAGAGGTGGGACTCTGTTTTCAAAACCCAGCACAGCAAGGCGATCTTGAGCACTCTGGGGTGTTCTCAGATGCCTTGCGCTTCCTGCCTTTAGATGGAGACCACCCACCTGGCTTCTAATCTGAAAGTTGCTTTGGGAGCACCAGTGGGGAACCCCCAGAACAGAAGGGGTGCCTCTTGGCTGAACTGGATTGGCCTTAGCTTCATGCCTTTCCTTTGACTCTGTCATAGCTGCTTTTCAAAGCAGGGCATTTTTCCAATGGAAGGAAACTATTTTTTCATTTCCATCAGAGCTCCCATCCCAGCGCACTCCTGGTAAGTCCTTTTCCCACCCACCCCGGACCTCACAGCCCATGTCCTCTTCCTGAGCTGAGGTTCCTAGAACATCTCCTTCTCTCCTCTCGTCCATCTTCACCGCCTCACTCACTAGCCTCTCTCCTCCCCCAGGGACCCTGAATAAAGTCCCGGTCTTGCCCAAACTGCCGACTGCACTTCCTTTCTCATAAACAGGTTTATAGCCGTGCTTGTCCAGGCGGAGTCCCCGCTGGCAGCATCGCAGGCTTCTGCTTGCAACATGGGCCTCACGTCATGTCATAGAAACGCTGCACACTGTTACTGCCACCAGACACTCCCTGGGCTGGGCTGGGTCCCCTTTCTCCTCTAAGCTGTTCCCCAGTGGCTCCAGATCCATTGAAAGGAGTGGGAACTCCATTCAGAGCTCCCATCCTGCTCACGTTGGGTGGATGGCCTGGCAGAGGATCAGCCCCTATAAAGATGTAACTGGGCTGCCCAGCCCCAGAGCCCTGTGTTTGCGGTGAGATGGCATCTGACTTGTTGCTGGATCCTTGGTGGCTGGCGTGATGCCTGGCGTATCCGAGGGCCCAATGAGTGTTTGCTGACTGAAGGGATGAAAGCATGCGTGGTGGGCCCTCCCCCAGTCTGTCCCCTGGGTGGGCCCGCTCCCTGATTCTCTGGTTCTTTTCCACCCCCTCCTCCTGACCTCTCCTCTGACCCCGACCCCTTCCCTGCAGACGGAACTGTCACTGCAAAAGGAGCAGCTGCAGCTCAAGATCATCGAGATCGAAGATGAGGCGGAGAAGTGGCAGAAGGAGAAGGATCGCATCAAGGTGAACAGCCCCCAGGCCTCCCCTGCCACGCAGCCTGGGGGAGGTGGGCCTGTGCCCTGTCCGCGGTCCCGGGCCCACCTTTACACCGCACTCCTTTCCTCTGGATGCTCTTACCCCCTTCAGCATTTCCACCAATTCCCCTTCTAAGTCTGGGCCAGGCATCCGGGCAAGATGTTGTCCAGCACCTGACGCTCATTTTATGTCATCCCATCAAACCCTGGACCAGCTTGTCCTCCAGCGTGTCTTCCAGTGTCCTCCGCTGTCTGTGCTGCCCATCAGACTACCCAGCCACCGAACGCCTGCCATTTCCCCTCTACTTGTGCCTGTGTGGCTAGATGTACACCTGCCATGGTTTGGATACTTGTAAACTACAATCTGAAATCATTGACTCTTGACCCTGGCTACAGAAACAGCCCATCAATTCACTTTCAGAATGATGTTTGGTTCTAGTTGAGGTTTTCCTAACTCCAAGAAGTGGGAACTTCTGGGTCCATGGAGTTGCCTAAAGGTGGAATGTTGGCTCACATCAACCCACCAAAGGGCAGAAGCTTCAGATAATTAAGGAAAGGTGGGCTGTAAAAGCCCCTGGCTGTCTGTATCAACAGATGGCATCCCTCAGTGATGTCTTTGAATGAGATTCTTGCCTGAATATGCTTGTGGGGTCGAGGCGGTAGAAATGCCCTCACTCTGTGTTGAGAACTTAAAGATGCACCCACTGGGGAGGTCCTTAAATTACTGAAACCCTCCTTCCTCTTTCCAATTACTCTGGATCCAGAGCTTTACCACCAATGAGAAGGCCATCCTGGAACAGAACTTCCAGGATCTGGTGCGGGACCTGGAGAAGCAAAAGGAGGAAGTGAGGGCTGCACTGGAGCAGCGGGAGCAGGATGCCGTGGATCAAGTGAAGGTGATCGTGGATGCTCTGGACGAGAGGGCCAAGCTGCTGCATGAGGACAAGCAGACCAGGGAGCAGCTGCACAGCATCAGTGACTCGGTGCTGTTTCTGCAGGTAACAAGCTACTCCTCCGCCATCAGCCCCTCACTCCTTCTGTCCACTACCCAGACCCTCATCCAGTGTCTGTCTGTCCATTCATCCATCTAGTCACCATCCACCATCCAGCCATCTATCTATCCACTTGTTCCATCCAAGCTCCATTCCATCTGTCCATTTCACTTTTCCATCCAAGCCATTTCCCTCCCTACTTTAAAGATGGCACACAAGTATCACCTTGTACCAAGTTCAATTTGTATGTACTAATAGTGCTCTAGGCTCAGAAAGAAAGAGTTCTGTGCCTGATTTGTGATGCCTGCTTTGGGTATGGGGGGGCACATAAGTGCTGCATATTTGTTATCTTTGCTCTGTCTATTCCTCCATCCATCCTTCCCTCTGCTAGACTGTATTACTGAGTGCCCAATACTCTATTAGGTGCTGTGGAGAATGGAAAGGTGTAAGACATGGTTTTTGCCCTCAAGGAGCTGCATACCAGCTGGGAAGATAAGACACGTACAGTTAGAGAACAATATAGAAGTGTGTGTAATTAAGTGACGGAGCGTGTGGCTCAGGAGATAAGTGGAAGCTCTGGGAAGGGCAAGCCGGCTGGGGTGATCTAGGGCAGCTCTGTGGAGGAGGGAGAATTTGAACTGGGTCTTGAAGGCCTGTCAGGATTTGAGAAGGAGGAGGGGTTCTCCTGGGAGGGAGAAGGAAAGTGAGAAGTGCCAAAGCGTAGAGGAAGGACCGAGTGCGTGTGCAGGGGAGGTACCGCCACAACCGACCCACGACGCGGTAGCTCCTTGCATTTCTTTCACTCCCAAAGACTTCACAGCTGGTGTCGCTCCCACAAACCCCTACGAAGTAGGCATGATGCACTCAGTTTAAGAGATGGGAGCCATGGAGTCACATATCTGATGCTCGTGCCATCAGGGATATGAGCATCCAGTGGATGTTAGTTGAACCCTTTCATTTTACAGAAGAATAAATGAGTGCCCAGTGAGGAAAAGTGGGGCTAGTTAAGGACCTAGGACCCAGCTCCTCTGGCATCCAGTGCTGAGACTGCCCCTGCCCCTGCAGGCAAGGGTCACCCGAGCTCCTAAAGACCAGGAAGGTTAATGGCTTCCTTCCTTTCCTGGTAGGAATTTGGTGCCCTGATGAGCAACTACTCCCTCCCCCCGCCCCTGCCCACCTATCACGTTCTGCTGGAGGGGGAGGGCCTGGGGCAGTCACTGGGCAACTTCAAGGACGACCTGCTTAACGTGTGCATGCGCCATGTTGAGAAGATGTGCAAGGCAGACCTGAGCCGTAACTTCATCGAGAGGAACCACATGGAGAACGGTAAGGCCCTGCCGGTGGGCAGGCCCCAAGGCCATGGATGTTTTCTCCCAGGTCAGTTCCTGCTGCCTGGTGCAGGCTGGCATCCAGCCAGCTGGCGCCTTGCTGTCCCCAGCCACCCATCCCACCTAAGGGTGTTTGGACTAGGATTCAGGGATGGTACTCCCTTCCCTTGAACTTACTGCCAAAGTTATGCAGCTATTAGAAGGGGACCCCAGGGCAGGGAGCATCCTGGGCACTGGCTGCACAAATGTCTTTTTCCCATGGGTTGTTCTTCCAACTTGGGGATTGGTTTCATTCAGATCTGCGTCTGACTGGGGGCCCCAACCCAGCAGCTGTGTGGGTGCTGCCACTTGTAAGGGCCAGACTCCAACCTGGTGGCTTCGCAGGCTCCAGTGGACGTGACCTAGAACTGCACCTGCTTGGAGGGAGAGCTTGCCTGTCAGCCATCACTGTGCTGAGCAGTGTTAAGCCCAGAGGCTGGACTTGGCCTAGTGGCCAGGCTGGGGCACAGTGTGTCTTGGTGACTCACCAGCTCCCCTGAAGCCAGTGTCTCTTCTGAATCACAACGTCCTCTGCAAAGCCAACTGCATCACCTCCCAGAAAGCCTCCTAACATGAGAAACTGTCCCCGTTAAGTCCTTTTCCACCAGTCCCGGCCCAGTCCCTTTAGGGCCTGAAGCTGGGCACTTCCCCCAAACCCCACCGGGTGGCCCAGGCCTTGAGGATGTGGCCTAATTAATGACTTCCAACCCCAACACCCCAAAGGAAGTAACTCCTGTCTTTGGTCTCTGAAAGGAGCATGTGATTCTTTGGGGGTCGAGAAGCGGGTAACGTGCACAGACAGGCCAGGGCTCAGGGGGCGTATGGACATCTTGGTAATGGTGACACCATAGAATGTCGCTGTAAGACGTGGGGGACAGTCAGTCACACCTGAGGGCAGATGAGCCTTTGCATCAAGATAATCACTTGGCTTTGAGTAGCACTCAGATCCTGAAATCTTCCTGATGACAGTGGGGACAATGCTGATGGTGATGGCCCACAGTGACAGGCCTGAGTGCTGGCTTCGTGTGAGCTCCTCACTTGCCTTACCCTAGTCTCCTCGCAGGATGTACTGCCTTTCACAGATGAGAAGGCAGAGGCTCAAGGAGGAGATTTTCGGAGGGCACAGAGCTAAGCAGGGTGAGCTGGGTTTCACACTGCTGTCCACTCCCCTGCGTCTTCTCATCCGAGATGCTGCTGAGGCTGGTGGCTGTGTAGAGGAGTTGAGAGTGTGATGATCACAGCCCCTGGGGTACAAACCTGGTGGGGGATCCCCTCGGCTAAGGTCTGGCCAGACCAGTGAGGATGGCCCTGACTTAGTTGGGGTGGCCTGTGAGCCTTGCAGAGACCCCCCACCTCCTGCTGCCCACCCACTGTGCCATTTCTAGGTCATGATTGTATTGGCTGGGTCTTCTGTGCAGGTGTGGCCGTGTGCCCTGTATACGGTGTGCAGGAAGGCGGCCGCCAGGAGCAGGGTGGGTGCAGCTGATGTCAGCTGCGCTACACCTCTGCCTGGGGCCCTGGGCCTCCGTGTTGGTGTTTTGTCACTTTTGTGTCATTGGGAGTGTGTCTGGCTGTGGGAGATGGGGGATGAATCAGACCGCGCAGTGACCACCCTCTCTTCCTTCATGGCAGCCTGCCCACCAGACCCAGGACTCAGCCCCACCGTCAAAGACCCCAGGGGCCTAGAGGCACCAGACCACCTTCACCCTGGGCTTGGCAGGGAGGGAGCTGGGCCCACACCTAGCAGGACACTTGTTTGGCCCCTGCCTCGCTCACGTGATGGAGATGTGGGATAGGGGTTGAAGTCACTCACTCCTCTTGCCTAGGAGAAAGGGAGAAGGGCAGAGGGAAAGCAGACGAGGAAGCAGCAAGAGAAAGGAACGGGGTGGAGGGCGGCTGGGGGAGGCAAGTGTGGAGCTGCAGATTTGTCTGAGTTCAGGGCTCTGGTGGTGGGGGTAGCGGGGAGGGAGCAGTGCCCCTCCAGAGCAGCTCACGCCCCTTGCAGAGGCTCAGCTGGCTCGATCCCTAGGCATGGAGGCCAACACTGGGTCCTCATTCCACCCCCTGGGCTGCAAGCAGTGGTTGGGACAGAGCCAGGAAGTAGGGATGGAGGCTCAAACCCCAAATCTGCCCTTATTGGCCATGTGACATTGGGCAGTGGTTCCATTCACCTCCTGAGCCTCAGTTTCCTTATCTATCATGTGGGGATCTTCATACCAGCCCAAGGGTTGATGCACACATCAAACAAGAGACAGAGCGCAGGAGCGCCTTGTAAACTGCAAAGTGCCGTGCACAGTCCCACACACAAGGGCCAGTCCCGGGAGGGTGGATGGCCCACTGCAGACCCTCTCTCACCCCTCAGGAGCTCGGGGGCAGAGGGGATGCTGGGCAGGGTGCCACCTTCTCTGAAGTTGGGGACCTCGCCTCTCACTGGGACAGAGGGGCTGTGGGCTGACTCAGCGGAGCCCAGCGACGCCTGCTGTGGGTCAGCCCCTCCTCCCCACCTGCCCCTCCACTGACCTGACCTCTGTCCTTCCCAGGGGGTGACCATCGCTTCATGAACAGCTACAGCAACAGCTACACGAGCGAGTGGAGCGCCCCGGACACGATGAAGAGATACTCCATGTACCTCATGCCCAAGGGTAAAGGAAGGGAGAGGATCATGCCGCATGGTCCATGGGGAGGCTCAGCCGGGTCCCCCCACGGTGATCTTCGTGGATGCCCCCGGGGAGGTCCCGGCGTATACCTGTTTCCCAGTGTAATGAACAGCTCCTCCCTCCAGCCTTAGTCTAGCATCTGCTCACCTGTGACTCAGGCAGTCCCCTCAGCCCACACCCTCCTCTTTTCTTCCAGAGGGTCTCCTGGCTCCTGGTCTCACCCACTCCCATCCGCCAGACTGAGCTGTGTGTCACTTCCCCTTGGGTTTTTGCAGTCCTGTGGTAGGGCTGGCTCCTCCAGGACTGTCCTGCTCTTCAAGACAGGAGAATGGATGGCTGGTCTTTTAAATTCCTCAGCCCTCCCTCTCAGGAGGCCCAGCCTGGGGGGCGGCGGCCAGGTGGGGGTATAGCCCAGCGCCTGCCAGTCCTTGCCCTGGGGCAGCCTGTCGCATTCTTTGGGGCCAGCAACAAACCACAGCAATGTCCGTTACATAAGGGTAAGTGTGCCCGGTGGAAAGAGGGGTGTGTGCAGGTGTGTGTGTTGGGAGGGGATCAGAAGAAGAGAGGGTGTGTAGGGAAAGGGGAGAAAGAAGACATGAGGGAGACGCCAGGAGCCAAGAGTGGGGAGCCCTGAGGCCCTGCGCACTGACTCACACACAGACACAGTGGGAGGGCCCCGGGGATCTGGAGAGATGAGCTCAGCAGAGAGGAACCTCAGCTGCCCCACCCAGTTTGAAAACAACACCTGGGCTTCCGGGGAGGCAGCTGGCCCCCAGGGCCCCCGCCCCACATTCCTGGTTGGGGCCAGGTCCGGGCTGGCCAGTCCTACCCCCTTTCCTCCCCCAGGTGTTGTGTTTTGCGCCTTGTTCTGTAAGAGGCTGAGCTGCACTGACCAGCCATCCCAGCGTCCCTGGCTCCGGCTTGGGCCCTTCCGGCTCCTCATCTTCTGAGTTCCAGACCTTGACCTGGCGTTGAGCCCCCCAGCTGGCCCTTGCTTGGCTCGCCTGCTCTGCAGAAGAGGGAGAGGAGCACAGCAATAATGAGGGTTTGAGGAAAGAGTGTGGAGCTCCCCCAGATGCCACTCAGAGAGCCAAGGCCCGGACACCCTGGGCTGGTAGCTGCCCCCTCACTGTCTCCATCTGAGAAGGAGGAGGCTGGACTCAGCTGTTAGGAGAGCGTCCAGGTCTGTCACTGTCAGTCAGGCTGTGACATTTGTAGGTAGAAGGAAAAACAGGTTCTTCTGGTGTCTCCACCCTTGTCCTGGGGACAGGAGGGAGGAGGAAATCTGCCCTCTGGGAGCTCCCAGGCTGGGGATGGAAGCAAGGGAAGGGCCAAGGAGAGTCAGCGAGGAGTCACGAATCAGGGCCACCGAAGGCCAGCGGCCTGAGTCTGGGGGCCTTAGGGCAGTGGGATTGGGCAGTGAGACTTTCCAGGAGAGGTTAGTGTCCAGGCTCCCTGAAGCAGGGGCCATGTGCTCGGTAGAGGGCATGGCTGTGATGGACAGAAGGAAGGACAGCATGTGCAAAGGTTGAGAGAAGGACCAGCACCTAGGCCAGGATGGGAGTGAGGGCTGATTAGGCAGGAGGGGAGGAGCCGATGGAGGACTCGGACACCTGTGGGTGGCGCGTTGTCCTCACCTGTAAAGCGGAAATGTGGAGCCCACTCTGCCTTCCTCCCAAGGCTGTTGTAGAGCTCGAATAGGGGAGAAGGGAGACACCTGTGCTGTTTGGGGCCTGTCCCTGGGGGAGCATCCCCATGGCGGAGGAGGTATTCCTGGCACCAGCTCATCAGCTGCCTGCAGCTGGCGGCCCTCACTTCTCCAAGGGCCCAATGCCTCTCCTCCCCAATGGCGGCCGTGGCCCTCCTTCCTCGCAGGCACCCCATTTCCCAGCCTCTGGGGTCTCAGTCACACAGGGCCTGGCTCAGGGGAGAAGCGTTGCTTTTCCAGCCTCTGGTGACCCTCAAAGCCCCCAGATAGTGTAACCACACATCTCGGTCACTCCAAGACCTTCCAGGTTTACTGGTGCCATTGAAATAACTAATTGTTTTGTTTTGTTTTGTTTTGTTTTTTGCAGTGGGGAGGGTAATTAGGTTTATTTATTTATTTTTTAACGGAGGTACTGGGGATCGAACCTCGGACCTGGTGTGTGCTAAGCGTGTGCTCTACCACTGAGCCATACCCTCCCCCGTTGGCATAGCTATCAATAGCACCCCTTTCACTCTCAAAAGCATCTCGATTTGAATGGTAAATGACGCGGTCACCTTTTCTGCTACCCAAGGGAGCTGTCTTGGAGGTAGAATCCAGGTCCTGGGATAGGCAGTAGGGGCTGTTTGGGGGCGTTACATCCCTCAGGTTAGAGCCACAGGCCCCCAGCTGAGCCAGGCCCACCTCTCTGTGCTGACAGCCCCTCCTTGTGTGCCTCACAGGTGGGGCCAGGACGGCGTACCAGCCGGCATCCCCCAGCCGCCTCACCAAGGAGAAGAACTTCAACAATCTCTATGGAACCAAAGGTAGGAGGTGGCGTGTTTCGAGGGTGGGCAGGGCCTGTGTGGGGGCCGCGCAGGCAGGGGTGGGGAGCTGGGATGGGGTGCGGAGGGGTCCTATTAGCTTCAGTTGTGTGTGTGTGTGGTTTGCACGTGTGTGTCTGTGTCTGTGTCTGTGTCTGTGTGTGTACACGTGTGTGACATCCTTAGGCTGAGGAAAGCCTGCCGGGCACGCCAGCACCACTGGAAATCCCTGAGTCCACACGATCTTCTCCCTGAAGGATGAGTCAGGGGAAGGTGGACCCCGGGGTTAGATGTGGGGACCTCCCTCAGGACCTTTACTGATTTGGGTGGGATTCCTGTGTCGGAAAGTCACACAGTAGTTAAGACAGACCAGTGCAGCAGTAAATGAGAAGTCAGGAGCCGTACGAAGTGGGCCGTCCCTGGAAACACAGGAGATATTGCTGCCAGTGAGGCGAGCGGGGAACAAGCCCTTAAGACCCAGAAGAGGTCACATTGGGGTGGAGATGCGGCTTCCCCAAAGAGAGCTGCCAAGTACAGGGTCCCCTCTGCCCGGAGCACTAAGGGCACCACTGTGCTGGGGGCAGGGTTGAGCCCTGGATAAGCCCAGATTTCAGGGGCTCCTGGGACATGCCAGCCACGTGCAGGGAGGGCAGGGACTGGGCCCCCTCAGACGCAATAGCAGGAGGTCTGAAGAGGCGAGGCAGGGAGGGAGGGTGCTCTGCCGTGAGGACAAGGCCCCCGGAGATCTGGAGTTCCGGGCACCGTAGCCAGGCCTCTGTGTCCGGGATTGGGTTCATGTTGTTACCACCACAGGCTGTGAGCTCCGCGGGGGCAGAGGCTGGGTCTGTCCTGTTCCCTGCTGTGGCCCCAAGGCCCAGAAGAAGGAGGAACTCGGCAAACATTTGTTGCACAAGAGGAAGAGGGGACGAATGAGTGGGTGAAAGAAATGGCAGGTGTATGGGCCCTCGGAGCCTCGGCTGGAAGTGCTCTGTGAGGCTCCTGCTGCAGAGCCGGCCTGGGATCCCTGTGGGAGGGGGTCCACGATGGGGCAGGCGGCCAGCCCCAGCCATCTCTGACCACCGGCCCGCTGCAGGCAGCTGCAGAAGACCGCCAGGGCTGGTGGGCTCCGGTGTGGAGTGAGCTTGCCTGAGGGCAGACCCCCACACTTCGGGCTGCCGAGAGGGAGGGGCTGGGGGCTGCGTGGAATGCCCTGGTGGCGCCCCTGCTGTTCCTTCCACGTCGTCCCCACGGCCTCTTTCCCTCTAGACTGCAGGGGCGTACTTGCAGATGGACGCCTGCAGCCTATTCAACTCGGCAAACAGAATTTCAGGGCTTGTATCAGCTGCCGCCGTCTCCAAGTTTTAGCGCGTTTGTACTTACTTGTTCCTTTGCTCATTGGTTCATCCATCAGCCGTACAATGAGCACCTTCCAGGAACCAGGCTGGCTGCCAGGCTCTGGGTGTGATGCTGGGTCAGACGAGCATAACACCTGCCCCCACGGAGCCCAGTGGGAGAGACGGACCATTGAATGTGCAATCACAATGAGATACGGGGCAGGGGGCTGAGACACACGCAGACTTGGGGGAGATGACATGGAAGCTGACACCTGAAGACCCGGCACAAGAACTTGCTGAGCCGGGTGAGCAGGTGGACTATTCTAGGCAGAGGACCTGGTCTGTGGGAAAAGCCTAAGGCAAGAGAGAGCCTGGTGTGTGTCAGGAACTCAGCGCAGCCTGGTCGGAACGTTGAGTGGTGGAGAGGAGGAGATGGGGGGGAGCCAAGAAGTAGAGGCAGTGGTGAGGGGTGGGGCAGCAGCTCACGGAAGAGCTAAGGGCTGTGTTAAGGACATTGTACCTTAATCCAAGGACAGCTGGCCTTTAGGTAAGGCAGGGACAGGATGACACTTTATAGTTTAGAGGGAGAGCTTAGATGGCAGGAAGGACTGGCTGGAGGCATGATGGGTGGCAGCCCAGCACCATCCTGGCTTGAGACATGGTGGAGGCTGGAGAGATTCACAGAAATGGCCACTTCCCAGCCTCTGTCATCCCCCATGCCCAGCTGCTGAGGGCTGACACCTCTTTCTTTCCCCACCAGGTAACTACACCTCCCGGGTCTGGGAATACTCCTCCACTGTTCAGAACTCCGATGACCTGCCTGCCGTGCAAGGCAGCTCCTCCTTCTCCCTGAAAGGTGAGCCCTACTCTGTCCGACTCTGCTTTTCCAGGTGCCCTGAAAGCCCTGGGGCCTTGGTCTCTGATCACCAGTCCCACCTTGTAGGGGTCAGAGCCTTGCCTCCATCACATCTCTGCTGTCCAGGAGGGCTGGACCACAGCAGCATTTCTCAGAGTTTGACCACCACACTCTGGTCTCTCAGGATGCATTGTGATACAGGCCTCAGGGTCAGGGAGGTGGTGACATGCCACAGCCTCTACACTCCCCACCCCAGACATCCCCAGGGTACTTCCGTCAGGCTTAACTTCTGAGTCTTCCTACTGCAGAAATCTTATTTAACTTTGTTGCCCAGTGACTCCCAGCCTCTGCTGACTCTAGAATCCTGCGGCCACATTTTTCAGCATCCCACGGAGCCAGAGTCCTGCCTACTGCCCTTTGGGACAGGCAGATTGCATGACCTCTACGGTCTCCCAAATCTGATTCTGTACCCCGCAGCAATTCTGACACGTTTGAGTGGTCAAAACTGGGCCAGACCCCAGCTCACAGTGGGGCCCACAGCCCCACATCCCTTCCGAAAAGTCCAAGGGGCAGCTCTGGTGGGCTGTGGTAAGAGAAGACCTGTCTGTCTTCTAGCCCGCAAGACATCTGGCCACGGGTGGGTGGGCTCAGGGGGAGGGAGTGGGAGCAGGGCTGTGCGGGGCAGACAGACCCCCAGGCAGTAGCCTCAGGCAATGGCTTTATCATCCAGCTGTCCCTTCTGGATTGGATCCCAGCCGATGCCCAGCATGGGGACTCTTGGAACTACAAGCAGGGGGATAAGATGAGAGGGTCTCAGCCCGCAGGATTCCCAGGCCTGGGAAGCTCTGGGACTTGCCTTGGCCTGTCTGGCTTCCAGCAGATCCTCTCTGCTCTCTGGTCAAGCTTGGATCAAAGGCTACCCGGCAGGGAGGACAGCCACCCTTAGCTGTTAATTGGAGCGTTTATGCTCCCCAGAATCTCCCTGTTGGCCTGCAGAGCCTCCACAGGGGAAGGCTTTGGCCTAGGTCTGCCCCTCCTCAAATACACTAGGACCCTGGGAATAGCCCAGGGACATCTGTTGTCACCATCACACAGATCTGCTCACCAGATCCGCTGGGGGTGGCCGTGGATGGGGGCTCTGGGCAGGGGCCGCTGGTGTGGGAGGACAGACCCCACCTGCATCTACTCTGGGGGTGGGGAGGAGGCAGGGAGTATGCTCAGGGTGCTGGGGAGGGCTGAGCAAGGGCTCTGAGAGCAGCAGCACCCATGGAATGTGTGGCTCCCTCTGGCCCCTCCTGGGACCAGTGCTAATGCCTCTCTCTCTCCCACCAGGCACTGGGAAAGTCCCCTATCAGTTCACCACCTTGGGACAGGCCACCACAGAGTTTTCCAAACCACTGGACGGCAGTGGGCTGTTTAAAAATAATCCTGGTACCTGCCTGTTTTGCATCCCCCAACCCCTTCTCTCTCCCACAGCCGGGCAAGTGGGACATCCTATGGGGCTCTCTGCCACTTCTAGGGTGTCCTGGTGCCTCCTCCCAGAGCCCCCTGGAAGATGATGCATGCCCCCACTCTGCCATCCTTAGCCCACCCTCCCCTGGATTCTGCCCGCTGTACAGGCTGGTGTCCTGGACCATTCCCCTGCCCCATCCCCATTCCCGTCTCTCTCATGGCTGACCTGGGATTTTTTTTCTGGGAACTGAGAAGTGAGACTTGAATTCTCCCCTCTCAATCTCCCATCAGGACCTGAGGAACCTCTCTTCTCAAGGCTGTTCCCACCCCTAGAAGCAGGGAGACACTGGGTTCTCTGCTCTGTCCCCACTTCTTGCCAAGTGCCAGCCCTGGGGAAGGACCAGCTTTGCTGGCAGCCTGGCAGCTCTGCAGGTGTTTTCTGGGCCTGACCAGCTCATCCGCCATACAGCAGGCCAGGGCAAGTCTACAGCCTGCTCCTGCCAAGGACAGACCCTGTTTCTTTCTTGAGCTTGTCTAAATCCAGGTCACAGCCTGCTCCCTCCCAGGCACCACTGCCGGTGTCTGCAGCTGAGCGCTGACACGGAGAGGACTTTTAACAGTTCTGTGGACCGGAGCTCCTTACAGGTCCCACTGGGCTGCTTACAGGTCCCACTGGGCAGGGAAGTGGGCTCGGGCAGCGCCACCCCAGACCAGCGCCTTCGGGACCAGGCCCAGACGGTGCCCACGTGCTCCCGAGCCCGTGGGCTTGCTGTTTTAGCCCTGGATTGCTGCCATACAAATGACTCCCCCTCTCTGGGCCCCAGCCTCCTGCTTGTGAAGCAGGGAAGACGAAGCAGAACTGGGCAGGAGGAACGTGAGGATGAATTTTAGAGTCCAGCAAACCTGGGTTCAAATGCTGCCCACTGATTATCAGCTGTGCAGCTCAGGGCAGCAGAAACAGGGAGAGCCCATGTGGAGTCCCAGCATGGTGTTTGGCATGAGCAGGGCCAGTGAATGGGGGGTGTCATCTATGCAGTGTGGACAGGGGGGAAGGGTGGCAGTGGGGTGGGGGGTAGTTGGAATGAGCACCTCCTGGTGGAAATCCTGGCAGGTTGTGCTTATAAAGTGGCTTTCCAGGACTTCGGGGAGGGGAGGGGTCTATGTTGTGAGCCTTGTGGGAGAGGGGGGAATTCCTCGCAAGTAGTATGATCCTGACCTGGATTTGGGGGTGACAGTCCTCTGCTGCCTGGCCCGGCCCACCTGGCCTGCTCCCCCTCCTTCTGTCTGCCTTGGTGCCTCTTCCCTTTGGCCCGCCTCCGTGGGAGTTTTCATGTCGACCCCCCTGGCTACTGCACGCCTCTTCAGGGATGGCTGCACTTGGTGATGGGCTGGATGGAGCTTGGCGGCCACTTTGCAGATGGCGTCTGTGCTGCTCCGGCCCTGGGCCCTGACCGCCAGCCCATGCTCTCTCTGACCCCAGCCTCTTGTCTCCCCAGGTTACCCCTCCCTCATCAGGAGCCAGAGCCCCAAGGCCCAGCCTCAGACTTGGAAATCTGGCAAGCAGACCATGCTGGTGAGTGAGGGCCACCAAGAGAGCCTGCCTGGGCACGAGCATGTCCAGAATGGGCACTGAATGGGGCTCCCAGGAGCAACTGGCCACCACTTGCCCAGGGCCTGTGGGAGGATGGTCTCTGGGCCATTGGGATGGAGGGAGGAGGCAGCAGTGGCCTGAACACCTGGGTATTCCAAAGAGCAGTAAAGAAAGACCCAGGGCTACTAGGCAAGGGGCTTGGGTAAGCACATGCTTTCTGGGCCTTAGTCATTTAATCTGTAAAGTGGGCAGCCCTGGTTTCTTTTTTATTTGCAAATGGTTGTTGGGCCCCTATGCTTATGGAATGGTGGCCCGGCAACACCAGCTGAGTCCAGGGGACAGATATCCTGGAGATGAATCCCATTTCCTGGGGGTGAGTCTCCAGCTCTGACAGCATGGAGGCCATCTGGATGATAGTGCGGGTGAGGCATTGGCTGCAAAATTAGGAATAGATATATTTAGGGTTCAATGGCTAGTGACCCTGAGTTGGGGGCATGAAAGGGCAGCGCTAGAGGGAAGCACAGTTTGGGGGTCCAGCCACCTGCTGGCTGCAGAGTCCCGGGTGAGTCAGATCCCTCTCTGGGACTCTTCTTTACTGTATAATGAGGGATGAGGCGGTCTCTCGTACCCTGTAGACTTGTCTGAGCCCTGCCCGAGGCCTCGGCGATCAGGGGCTGTTCTTCACGTGCGATGCCTCCACCTCCCCGAAAGTTCTCTCCTGAAGGCCAGGCCCTGCTGAAGGAGTCGGCCAGCTGCCCTGGGATGTGGGTGGCACCGGCTGGGCTCAGGGGCTGGAGCCCCGGCTCCCTGTTCTCTTTGCACTTGGAGGTCAGAGCAGGGACCGGGGATTTGCTCCGGGCTGCGGTGACTGGGCTGGCTTAATTGGAGGGACTCTAATTTGCTGGCAATGGAGCTAAGTGATGGTGTGTGTAATCTGAGCTGGGCCCAGGGGCAGTGCAACAGCAGAACTGCAAAAAGCAAATACAGAGAGAAAAGGAAGGTTTCTATTCTTGGGTTCGGCCCTTTCCCTCCCTCCCACGTACTCTCCCACCCTCCCAGAACCCGGGTCCCAGGAAACAAGGCTCATCACCACCTTGAGACACCTGGCAGGGCAGGGTTCAGGGGAGCTCAGCTGGCATCCAGCACTGCTAATGTGGAAGGATGCCAGCCTGGGAGTCAGGACGCGGGGGGCCTGGCCCCAGCCCTCTCACCAACTTGCTGTATGAGTCATTCTTCCTCTGTGCCTCAGTTTCCCCATCTGTAACATAAGTAGGAGGGCCTGGATGATTTCATAGCTTTCTAACTTCCATGTGCTGTGACCCTGAGCCAGGGAGGGCGCAGGGGTGTGTATGTGTGTGCGTGTGTGTGCGCATGTGTGTGCAGGAAACACCCTGCCCAGATGCTGTGCCCACCTGCCATCCTGGGCTCTTAATAAAACTGCACCATTCAGTGACCTGCGATCCATTTTACTGACCCAGCCTTCCTGTAGGAAAGCCTTCAGCCATTTCTGGGTCTATTCACTTTGCCTTATTGATTACTTTGGGGTCCAGGCTGTAAGTAAGGGATCAGGAGACCTGGTCCAGGCCCTGGTCCGCCCCAGAGGAGCTGTGTAACTTTGGCTGTGTCTTTCCCTCTCTGCGTCTCCATTGGTCCCACTGTTTAATAGGTGGTTTAACCAAGGTCTGAGCTAAGGACTCTCAGCCCCTCGTCCCGCTGTGGACCAGACGTAGGCAAGGAGCTACTATGGATACAAATTTCCAGGCAGGCAGGGCCAGGGGCAGGGCTGGGATCACTCTTGGGGGTCTCCTGTATTGGAATCAGTGGGATGTGAGGTGGGCCCAGGCTCTGACCCAGCTCAGGGGCAAAGCCACTTCCAGAGACCTCCCTAGAGGCCAAGGGTGCTTGCGGGGGCAAGTGGTGGCTCAGATGTGCTCTTCCGTTGCAGCCTGGCAGGCGATTTCTCAGCGCCCTGATGAAGTGATTGGGAGGAGAGGGGAGTGCTGATTTTGTGAAATTGCTGTGGGACGTAATACACAGGGCTGGCAGGAAAGTTGTCGCCGGCACTGTCCCAGAGATGCTCCCTGAATCCCGATGAGGAGGCCGGGTTGAAAGAAGCAGAGGGGCTGGGGTGGGAGGCCCCTCAGTCTGTGTTGGGCTGGGATGGTGGTCTGTGCCCCCTGCAGCCCCTCTGTCAGGGAGGATAATGCAGGGAGCAGAGACCAACACTTGAAACTCAGAAGTGTTGCACTGACACGTGGGGGTGGGGGTTGAGCTCTGGAGCCAGACTGCTGGGGCTCGAATCCCAGCTCCTCTGCTTACCAGCCGGGTGACCTTGGGCAAGTTGCTTAGCCTCTCTGTGCCTTGGTTTGTTCATGTATAAAATGAGTATGATAATAGTAACCTGCTTAATTGGGTGGTTGTAAAAATTCAGCGAGACCATCTACATAAAGCCAGTGAGTGTAGTTCTGTAGAGCAGAAAATGCTACCAATATTGATACAGAATGGGAGCTACGATGCCGGGAGGGGAGAGACAGTGTGAGGAAGCTGAGGTTCAAGCTCGCCAGTTGACTGATGGAATGAATTCTAATTAGGATGTGAGCCCAGGACTCGATAGCACTGGGGCCCTACCCCAGTCACAGGGGAGGTGGAGCTTGCGGGAGGCCACGGATCCCTAGAATTGTTGGGGTTCAGACCACAGCTGCTTCCCAGGGGAGGGGCAGGTGCAGGGGTCTGGCTGGCTGCTCCAGTGCCATCCCACCTCCCTAACTGCTCTTGTCTCCCCCGCAGTCGCACTACCGGCCATTCTACGTCAACAAAGGCAACGGGGTCGGGTCCAACGAGGCCCCGTGAGTTCCAGGAAGGCGGGAACGAGGGGCCGCCACCCGCCCTCCCCGCCGGCCCTGCGGCTCTTGCTACTCTTCTCATCTGTGCGTGGTGGGGGAGCCTGCCCCGCACCTGCCCTCCCCCAGCCCCCAGCCCGCTTCTCAGGGCCGCCTGGCCTGCCCCCTCCTCCCCATTACCCACGCTCCACCCAGGCCCCCCCCCCGCCCCCGCTTTGTGACTCACGGTCGCCGTCTTTCCTGCGCTCAGAGGCCAACCCTCACGGGCATGCAAGATAGCGGGCTTCTCTCCCCTAACTCGCCACCCTCTCCTCTTGGCTGGGGTGGTTGGGGCCAGTGGTGGGGGCCCAGATGGTACCAGCCTGCCTGCCCTGCCCAGGCCCCTGCGGTCTTCAGGCCCGTTGGCCATTTCTCTCCAAGCCCCGACTGCGCGATGCGGTCAGTAGGAACCTGGCCACGGCAGCTGCCCATCTCCCATCCACACGGGCCCACCTCTTCCCAGCAGCCCGCTCCCCCCCCAGAAGAAGACTGGCCCCGTATGCCCTGCTCTGGTCCCCCCACCAAAGCCCAGGCTGGCGGCACCTGGAGCTCTTGGACACTGCGGAGGGAAACCTCAGTGTCTTGGCATCATCCCACCTGGCCTCAGGTCCCCCCATGTCCACCTTGAGTCCACGGTCCCTGAGGACACGCTCTTCCGGCTGGCAGGATGATCTTCACCAAAATACGCCTTTCTTCTACCTGCTGAGATGGTTCCCTTGACAACATCTACTCCACCCATGAAAGCAGCCACTGGCCCAGGTGCCCTGAGGGAAATGGAATTTACCCATGGAATTTCAGTAGTTTTATCATTTTGTTTCTCCTCGGCAATGGGAAGTGAGCTGGCCGGCGGGAGCGTGGTGGGGCTGGTAACCACCGGTGCTTATTTACAAGGGTGCCTTGCCCCTGCCTGCGCCCTCGTCCGCTTCCCCCATCATGGTCTTCCTCCTCCCTCTCCCTACCCTCCATGTTGCATGTTGTCACAGGGCCCAGGGCCTGGAGGGGAGCCCAAAGCAGCAGCAGCGAGGCGGGGGTCACCTCTCCTCTCACCGCCCCCCTCCCAAGGGCCCATGGGGGCTACAGGGGGAGGGGCCAGCTAGCAGGGGTGCAGGGGAGGGGAGGGAGGGAGGGAGGGGTGGGAGGGGAGGGAGACGTTCAGCTTGGGCTTCCCCTCCTGAATAAACCATTGGTCGCTCACTTCTTTGTATTGAACACGCGTTTCCTGGAGGGTCACCAGAGGGACCGGCTGCAGTTCTTCTGGACACACTTTTTCCACCTCTGCTGAATAGGTGGTCCTCTCTCCTCTTTTCTCCAGAGACACGGCTCCTTTGGGTTTCCCTCCCACCCCTCCCCACCCACCCCCACCTGATCCCTGGGGGCAGTGCAGGAGCCTGGACCTTTCTGAAACAGGCCCCCATTAACAGTGAGCAGAAAGGAAGACAGCGGGGTAGAGTCTGGGGGATACGCTGAATACCCTGAGGGCTGTGAGAACTCTGACCCCCGGGCCAGCTTACCCTGAGTCCCCAGAGGGGAACAGGGCCCAGGAGTGGCTACAAAGAGGCTGAGGTGAAGGCCGAGCAGAGGCTTCAGACCTAGTAGTAGGAGGGTTTGCTGGGCAAGGGGGTCACAGTCAAGCCCGAGCAGGAGAGCCCAGCTCCCAAGGGCGGGGCCGTCCTGAGCTTGGGCCATGGAGGAAGAAGACGAGGCCTTCCAGTCCCTGGGAAACCAGAGAGGCCTGGAGGGCAGTCAGAGAAGGCTTCCTGGAAGAGGCAAGCAAGACAGAAGGAAGCATGACTTGGCAGAGAGGGAAAGAGGGTGCAATGAAATCACACCCTTCCCCCTGGTATGGCAGGGACCCCGGGGCCCCTTCATTCTCAGGTCCTTCTTTGCTCCCCGCCAGGGGCCAAATGACACCAGAGGAGCAGCACCCCGCCCCCCCCCTCAGTAAAATTACCTAATAAGCTCACTGCTGGTCCATCACGGAGGGCAAAACCCTCTTCCCCTCCCCACCCTGCTAGGCCAGGAGTTTGGAGATGCAAGCCAGCAGCCAGATTTCCCAGAATGGGAACAGAGGGAAGCAGAGGAAGGAAGGAAGGGAAGGTGGAGAACCTTCCGGCTTCGGCAAGAAGGAGAGCCTATCGGGAGTGGGAGTGGCGAGCCCCCCTCACAACCCTGGAGCCCTCCAGAGATCTGGCAGCGTCCCTGGGGCTGGCCCTGCTCCCTGCAGCCCTGGGTCCTGGTTCCAGGAGCAACTCCCCCTGAGGAGTGTCTCCTCATCCCTAGCAGCTCCTTCTCAGTGGGCGGCCAGTGCCCTGCAGCCTCCCTGACCTTCTGCAGGACCCGCAGTCCCTGTGGCTGGGATGGTGAGGAAAGTCGCTCTCCTGGGCTCCAGGGGTGCCCAGATTCTCCGAGAAAGGCCCTGGCTCCCCATATGTGGGGCGCTTCCCCAAGCCGCCAGCTCCAGAGAAAGGGACAGAGACGCAGGTCCTGCTGAATTCCCCGGGCTGAGAGCCATGGGGGCAGCTGGGCCCCTGCCTGTTTGAGGCCTGGGTGTCACAGGATGCAGCCACCTGAAGCCTGGAGGACAGCAAGGTGGGAAGACAGGACAGCAGGGTCTGGGGGCCCTGGCCCTCTGCTGGGGCTGGGGTAGGGATGTCCCCTGAGCACCGTGCTCCCCCCACCCCTCCCCAGCAGTTCCATAACCGTCAGAGCTGTGATTATAAAGCAGTCAGGGGAATCCTTTTTTCCCACTTCTTAGAATGACTCCCTCCTCAGCACGAGGGAAAACATCAGGACGACTGCAGGGAACGTCTCACCCCAGAGCGGGAGGAGGAGAGAAGAAAGACTCCATTTCTGTTCTTGCTCCTCTCAGGTCCATGTTCCCTGGTGTCCTGTCCTCACCAGCTTGGGGCCTTAGGCGATTCCTGACTCCATCACTTTGGGCTGTGTGATCTGCTTGCCCTCTCTGGTCCTGACCTTCCCCATCTACAAAATGAGGGGTTTTCACTGACTTATCCTGAGATCCTTTCCCACCTCTGATAGTCTGTGCAGCAAAGACCACAGCAAGGGTGGTTGGAAGGGATTGGAAAATGGAGCTTGGTCCCATGTTGGGGCCCTGTGATCAGGACCCAGTTCAGAGCCAGGTGGATTGGACTCCGGACTCCCTGAGGCTACCCTTACCCAGCCCGACTGCCGCATGTCATAATTAGACCCTGCCTGTAGGGGGCTTGGGCGTTTCCCGAGGAGATGCCTTCCCTGTGCAGAAGAGGGGAGGCTGGGGGCCTCAGAAGCACTGAGCTCTTCTCTGGGCCTGGTTCGTCAGAATCCAGTGGAATATGGCCCCCAGATATCAGGGGTTACTCTGTTTTGTCCTCCTAGAAGAATGAGGGCTGAGAAGCAGCTATCTGGGGGAGAGGGAGTGGCGGGAGTGGTGGTGAAAGACACAGGGGAGCTGGGGAGAGGTCCAGTGAGGGGGTATCTGGGACATTCCATCATGTGGGGAACTGAGACGTGGGCTTCTGAGTTTGGAGTACAGAGTTTGGAGCCAGACTGTCTGAATGAGAGTCCTGACTGCCGCTCACCAGCTGTGGGACCTTGGGGAGCTACCCAGCCTGTAGGAGGGTAAATCCCGCCTTGGCATCTTATAGGACTGTTAGGGATGTGTGCAAAGCTCCGGGCACAGCAAGCGCTCAATAATTGATACATGATAATATGATTATTGTTGGCAAATCAAAAACATCCAAACCTGGGACCAAGCTTGGTTTTCCGGTCCTTTGAACCTTCCGCTCTTGGACAGGAGGGACCCCCGCCACTGGGCAGTTTCCTGGCTCCTTTCCAGCCCCAGGACCAGCCCCAGGGCTCCCTGCAGTTCTGAGGCATGGCCAGCAGGTGGCAGAATTTCATCGCAGTTATCGGGCATTCGGCCTCCCTCCGCTGGCCCAGCAGTCAAGACTGGTCCCACAGCCCTTCCACAAGCGGGGCCTCTTTCTCCCCTCCTTTTGTGTTAGCTAAATAGACCTGTAGTCCTAGGCTGTGAAGTGTGTGACGACTGCTGAGCAGGAAGGAGGGGCTTGCTGTCAACCCCACCAAACCCTGTTCACCCTGGCACGGAGGCTGCAGGGTGGGGCCTGGGGAGGGTCCCCTCCAGGTGGGCGCTGCTGCCCTTGGGCTCTCTCTGGGATCATGTGGGCCTGAGGAAGGGGGCTGGGTGGGCCTGCAGCCCCTCAAGGAGGGGCAACTCCAAGGCAGATCCCAAGTGAAGTACAAGATGGGAAGTCAGAGTCCTGGAAATCTAAAGTGAGAAAAACCGAGAGGCTGCAAATGGCAGAGTCTCTTGACTTCTATCACCCTCAGATTTCCTGCCTACGGATGGGAAGAATTTGTACCTTCCTCCTGATTGGCTGTGCCAGGAGGTCGGAGGCCTGGGAGTAACTCTGCAGAGGGGTGGGCATTTGGATGCGAAGATGTGGGCTGAGCTCCTGCCCCAATCCTTGTCCTCCAACAAACCCTCTCATCACCTCCCAGGAGTGACCCAGGCAGTTTGGTCTTTCTGAGTATTAACAATTAAGTTTGAAAATGAACTGTTGTTCAGCCACATAAACAAGAGAGAGAAAGGCTAATTGCTGGGTGGATGTGCCAACCCCTGGTCCCCAGTTCATCACCTCACCAAGGCTGTGGCTGAGAAGAGACAAAGCAAAGGAGGAGGGAGTGGGGTCAGGACCCTGGACCACTAGACCCTCTTGCAAGAGAATGAGGCAGTGGGTAGGGGAAGTCAGGGGATGAGAACGATGCCCTCCGTCCCTGAGGCTCTCCAGGGAGGACAAAGAGCCAGGCGAGGGAGGACGAGTTGGTTTTTAGCTAGCTCACAGTTACTAAGAAATTAATCCTAAGTGGACTGGTAATTTGTTTCCCCACTGGCCTTGCAGTTGGCCTTGGGGAGCAAACTGGATTCCGTCCTCATGTGAAGACTCTCAATGGACTGCAAACCTAAGTACTGACTGGCGACTTGCAAAAGGCGAATCTGGAAGCAGAAGGCATAGAATTCACTGTTATTCCTCGAGAGATGAGGCTGTGGGTCTTTGGTGGCTTAGGTGGGGACCTGCCTAGAGGGAGGGACTGGACTAGATGACCTGAGCTCAAGATCAGGTCCACCGCACAGGCCCAGGTGAGGGCAGGGGGTGGGAGCAGGGATTCCTGTGACAGCAGGACTGGAGGGGGCTCCTTCGCTCATTCCCAGTACTCATGGTGTCCCAAGATCTGGGCGTGGTGGGTACAGGAGGCACAAGTCACTGCTCTTCATGGAACTTACAGCCAGTACGGGAGGGGGAGGACAAAGTTGCCAGGGACCCCGTGGGTTGACTTAGGTGGTGGTAAGTGCCACCCAGAGCACAGCACATGGTGAAGTGGCGAGAGGGGCAGGGAGGTGGGGACTCCTCTGATGACGGTGGTGAGAAGGTCTGGGGTGAGGATGTCTGGACAGAGGGACCTGCCTCGGACAGTGAATTCTGTGTGCGTGAGGAGGGCAGGGGCGAGCCGGGCTGGAGGGTGGTGTGTCAGGGACACAGCCCGCATCCAGGCAGGCAGGGTCCGATCACACAGGGTCCCAGAGGAAGGTGGGGTTTTCCTGGGAATGCAGGCCCGCCTCCACGGGAAGATCAGAGATTAGATTAGTGCTTTAAGAAGCAGGCTCTGGAATGGACATGGGGGAAGCAGGAGTGGTGGTCCAGGTGCACAAGGATGGCC